AGCAAGTAATGTAACAGCATTCATGTTAGAAGTAAGCACGCTCGTGGATTGATCGGCTAATTGAGTATAGTCGATACCCAGGCCTCCAAAGACAAGCACTGCCCTCGAGCATGCGTCTGGCCCAAAACTAAAAATTGTGAAGAAAAGAGTGTAATGGCATAAACACTAGCCGCGTATCCTGCAGCGAGAAAGTTGCGAAGTTTGAAATATTAAAACGAATAAATGAAACAACGAAAACAAAACTACAGCAACAACCACAACAACAAAAAGAAAAAACAGGTTGAAGCCAGAAATGAAGCTAGCCAAATGTATTGTTCGCGTAGAATTTCGAATTTAAACAAGATTGAATAGAATCGAGAATGTGTGAAATTCATATTTCTATCGGCCAAGGCGGCATAGCTGTTGCCTGTGGGGTACTTTCCTTAGTCTATGTATTAAATAGGGATATATTGTTTGCTCATTCGCCAAGCGCCCAGAACAAAACATGAGAGTAGCAATCACCAAAAATTCACTTTCTTTAATTGAACTTTCTTATTTTAAATTGAACGAATACTGCACTTCTTACAAGCAAAGGTCAATTTTCCTATTAAATGCCTAAATATATAATTTTGATCCAAAACTCCTTATTCCCGATCGAATCTGATTCGACATCATTGCTGTATTTTTTTTTTAATTTAATGTAGCGGAAATGAGTGCCGTCTAAATAGTCCAAAACTCAACCGGTCGATAGCAGAATACTACAACACATCCAACAGAACTCAACGTATTTTATCAGTAGCCTTGTCTTCTTCGTAGCTGTTGCTTTAGTAGTCAACGTTTCCCGTCACGCAACGTGACGGCTTAAGAAACGGCTACCAAAAAGGCTAGGAAAGGGAGTAAGAAAAACAATTATATTTTCTTTCTTCTTGTTAAACGACTCATGAGGAATAACTGCCTGCTAGTTCTGTGTAACTTAACATTTGTTGCTATCACTAAAGTGACAAGGTCATAAACTGGACTGATCGAAACTATATCAACGGCGGTCAATAAAGTCATCTTGTAAACGTTATGTATGCCGGAAAATTCTCTTGGGTGATCTCTCTCTATTTTAAATATGGATATTGTTCTTCTGGCTTCAAATTCTACGCCTTTAACCAAGGGAAGGAAGACTCTCTGTCTTTCACTAAATAAACCTCACGATACTTTGTTCAGCCAATCAAAGTACGTTTAGTATCTTGTTTATCTCATTAAAATAAAAATAGTAATAGTGGTCATTCTCGCTTGTGTTTCGGAAACAGACGAGCCAAAATTAAAAGGAGATCAAACTGTTCTTCATGCATTGTTGCTATAAAAATAAAATAACTCTAGCTTTGATTTATCGTTGAAAGTAACGCTTTAACTCGCTGTTTAACAGGTGAATTCATCCAAGAGAATAGGGCAAATGCTTTTCAATTTGTTTTCTGCAAAACAAAATTCATTTAATTTAACAGTCGCATACCAACGTATAAACAGCTTTCAAATCAACGGCAGATGCGACTACCATCGGACCATCTGGTTTTAAGTAGCCTGGATAATCCTTTGTCTCTGTTCGCACGCTGCTTTCGTCTCCAGCTGGTAAAACCATTGGTCCTCGGATTCGACTTCCGTGTAGTCTCTTGCACTCGGAGTTGAATATTCGCGCGAAAATCAGAACCAATGCAACCTATCACGTGGATCCCAAGAGCTTAATGTTGAAGTTGCGACTCCGGCCTCAAATAAAACTGCACCAGCTGGTCTCTATTGTTCACAACAGAAACTAGGAAATCTCTTCAGCGGAGGACGAAATGAAGGCGCGGGGAGACACGTCTGTTTGTTTAGGTTAGACTTTTACGGGTGTAGTAATGCTGTTCTCCCTAACGAGCCCCTTCCCTACCCAAAGATGAGATCTCCTCTTGATGACTTGGAGAATGATAATGAGGAAACACATGAAAAACTTCCATTTTACTGAAGGACACATTCATTCCTGTCTTTTGGCATCCTTGCGCTGTCGATCACTTTCTGCACATGCAGGGCATCCTTCTCGGCCCTGAATTAAAAAAAAGTGAACAAACAATTAATTAGGAGAGAGAAGTTCATCATGTGACGGGCAAGGATAACGTCAAATTCTAAATCCTTGAGGTCATGGGTTCGAACCTCGTCGGTGAGTCAGGTTTTCTCTTTGCTCTACACTCGTAATATGATGAATGTTGCATGTTGCATCCTTGTCACTTCATTACTGAGCTTAAAATTTACCACCTTTCTTCATTGATCTCCATCAATGAATGGAGTAATTTAATGTGAACTGTCCAAAATAGAGTCGAACAACTTAGTTCACCTGGTGCTTGAGAAACCAGCAATCACATTATCTCGTCTTCTTTAATACGTACACCCAGGCCTGTCCCTTTGCTGTCCATATTAAAGAAGACCATTGCAAACGTTCAGTGACTTACTGTTGAAGTTGCGAATCCTCGAATTGTACCAGCTGGTCTCTTTTGTTCACGACAGACACAAGCTGCTCTATCAATTCCACTTCCCTCTCTCTTTGCTCGTCTGTTTTCTGATAGTCTGCAACAATGGGAAAAAATTAAGTTATATAGATCATCGTCAAGGACTTGGGGAATCACTGCAGTGCAACGCACTGCAGTAGATCAGCAATCTGTTCGTATCTCTCCACATGGATTTGAGAAGCGAGAAATAAAAATAATAACCACGAAAAAAGTGCAAGCGAAGCGAGAAAAAAGGTTGTGTCTATTGGATAAGCCTCCCGGGCAGTCTATATAGGCCATTAAGCATTGATTGTGTTTATTTGGTAGCCTAATTACAGTATGTTCTAATAACTACTTCTGAATCATGAGGCTGTAGGGACAGCTGATCACTTGCAGCACTGACTAAACTTCAATCGTTTTGAACAAGCTTCAAAAATGTCATTAGAGTCGTATTTAAAGAAAGGGAACACACTCATTGAGAAAATTAGACAATTGCAAGTGATTAACTAGAGGACACCGGGCGAACTCGCTACATGTACCAACAATGCCCTTGATATTCCTATTCCACCAATCACAGCTAACAAACGTCTTGCAAAGTGTTCAATTATCAAGCGCTGGGCTGTGATTGGAGGATTTCGATCCAATAGGAATGACTAATGGAACCAACTGCAAATTATAAATGTGGATTGCACTCAGTGAAGGAGTCGGCTGAAGAGATGTTCCGTCTTTTCCATACAGCTCTCCGAATCTCAATGCTTCTTCAGTTATGGTGACCTCGTGCTTCTGTTTCAAAGCGAGTTCTCGAGCAAAACATTTTATATGAAAATGAATTTGATTTACATGAAAATGAACCTGTAAGGGGAACACATTTTCATATGAATGGTTTTCGACAGATATTCGCTCGGGCACAGAGGAAAAAGACAACTCGGAAATAGCCTATTTATCTCCGCCGTGAATCATTTGTGTACAGCTGTTAGCTAGCAGACCAGTGTTCCTTTTGTAACAAGAAAGAAAAGCAGCCTTTATCGAATAAAGACAACCTTAGTCTTTTGATACGTTGTTTTGCGAGTTACTTTATTTCCTACACTGACAACGTATTATCGCCAGCTACATCAACTTTAAAATAGGCTGATCATTTCAAGACTAAGAAAAAACTTAAAAACACTTGATAACAAGTGATTTAAAGCTTATTCAAAATTTCGCAGTCATAGTCTAGAAAATTTTACAGTTTCATCCCGGAAGAAAAAAACCTATTTGACACAATCGACCCGAACAGTTAGATTTGGAACGACAAGGAACCAATCGTATATCGTTAACCTTTATATTTTGGAATAGCCCAGGAAAGAAGTTAAATTCAAGTTTTAAGATCACTTATTGCCGAAATGTAGCGGGAAAATTCAACTATGAAAGGTTATCTCATGTAAAAGTGTAAAATGTAATTTCTGTTGTGAATGTAATTTTTATTTACCACGAAAGACGGAAGAACTGTGATGAACCCATCATAAAGTGTTCGTGCACCGAGATCGAATTAGAATTTGCAGTGTTGGTTGATGTTGAAGGAGGACAACCGGCGCGCGCGGAAAAAAACCCTGAGAGCAAGGCGAAAACCGAGAAAAAACGCAACGCACTTCTGACTCTGGGACTAAGATTCGAACCCGGGCCACACTGGTCCTTTAAGGGCCATTGGGTTTTCAGTTACTACTGTTCTGTGTTACCCTCGATAAATAAAGTTGATTACTATTATTATTATTACTGGTGAGAAGCGAACGCTCTAACTACTGTACCATCCCTTCCTTAACCTTTCAGACATTTGAGACATTTTAGAGACATATAAAAGACATTTAAGAGATAAAAGCTACATAAAAGACATTTAAGAGGGTGAAATCGAAACAGATTCACTCTGGGCGATAATAGCCCCCCCCCCCCCCCCCAAAAAAAAGCCATTTTACCTTTCGTTATCTACACTCAGTTTTACAAACCACCATGAACAATGAGGCGAATTCAAGTTAAAACTAAAACTGAAAAATCATCCGTACAAACCAGTATTTGCTACATTTGTACCTGAGTTATTGACAAGTTCAATGTTTAACTATGTATATGACAAGCTAACAGTTGAAACGCCCCGATTCCCTTAACGCTTTGTTCGTAGCTACTGTCAATTCTGATGTGCACGATAGCAGTTCTAAATGCTTTTTCTTCTGTTATTCGTTGACCGTTCTGGATTCAGATACGGACAGAAATCTCTATCGGACAGGGACATCGACCTAGCGGGTGTAAGGCCGATGGGGTGTTCTATGGTTTCAATTTGAACAACTTCGGCTATGTCTGTCCCGCTAAGAGAGCGTCCTTGGCCTGTTTGTCCCAGAGAGGTTTCACTTTCTTCATGCCCATGACCACACAAAGTCCCTTTCAGTTCCTTTACTTTTGATGTGAAGCTGTGGACTCGAGTCAAAAACACGTACGGATTGAGCGAACTTGGAATCGAAAGGCAAATCATCACAGCAAAAGCTGCTAAATGCGTTTGTCTTCCGTCGTCTTCTAACCCGAATCCAACGACACCTTGTATTAGCAACGGCACGAAACACGCGACGCACATGAAAGTCACAATAAGGATTGTGTACAAGGCCTTACGTCGAATTCGTGCCATCGGCGAGTTTCCATTTTGGCCCTGTGCTGGTAAAACATGTGCAGTTCTTCGAAGTCTTGTCAAAGACAAAACGGCAAAGATAATGATCAAAAAAATGCAGGCATAGACAACAAGTCGCAAGAGAAATGAAGATAAAGTTCGAGAATAGGCACGTCTATAGCTTACGACTGATACACTGCCTAGATCTATTTTGTAAAGTGGAAAATACAAGAGTACAGTTAGTGAAACATTAACTATCCACTTGACTACAATAACAAGAAGCAGTTTTGTTTTCGATTTCTTTGCCTTGTAAAGGACAGGCCAGCACACCGCCAAATATCTGTCCGTCATCTGCAGTGCCATGGTGGTGAGAGAAAGAAGAGAGAACAAGGAGTGAAGCAACGACACAGTCCACGCAAATGCCCTGTTACGAAAAATGGAGTAGTTCAACACGACGTAACAGATGGCAAAAGGAATGTTGACGACGCTGTTGAAGAAATCAACGACCGACAAGTCGACAATCAGATAATTTGGCACGTTTCGAAGCGTTTTGTGACGGATAAACAAGAAGATGACCAAACCATTTCCAGCAATGGCCAGTAACGCGAGTAGAGCGTACAGGCTGGACTGCGAGAGGACCACGTACAAACTGCTACCATGAATAGTCCCAGTGTAATCACTGCTGTTTGCTGGCAATGAAACCATTCTGAATCTAGAAACGCTGATGTTAGCTTCTTTAGGTGAGAGATGACCGCGAATCGAAGCGTCACTGAGTGAAATACTCCGGGTCGTTTAGTTTATCGCCAAACTTGTGCCAAACAAATGCGTTGAAACGACTTGAACAACAGTGCGTAGCTTTAAGCTTATAGACAAAGAAATCACTTCATTTCAAGGAAAGCTGCCGTTTTGCAGATGTTCCTAATGCTAAATGCTAAAATTTCTTTAGTAATAAACCTTACCTTGGATTTTGCGTTGTAATTAGTAAGAACATGATTCTTTTGAGAGATAAAAGATAGGAAATCCTTCACAACCTACATTGAATCAATTGTGAATGCAGTCTGGAACGGTAATGATGTTACTGACAATGCATCCAGGATATTAAAAGAGTAAAGAAATTTCACCTGTAAGGGCCGAGTTCATACTAAAGACAAGAAATCTGTACAAGACAGGTTTCCCGTAAGTGACAAATTTCTCGTCCTGATGTTTAAACTCGACGAAACGAGTTTTTGAGGAGAAACTTGTCCAAATTTACCCGCTTATTTTCCGCCTGAGTCGAGGACTTTTGGCTTCTACTAGACGAGAAAGCCGTCGAGACGCGTCACGAAGTCACACATAAACGGTCTTCTGGCCAAGTTACGGGAGAAGATTTCATCAGAAAGCGTCCCTAGCAAGTGAAATGATCACTGGGATCAAGAGGACGAGTTAAAACAAACAAACACACAAACAAACAAACAAACAAACAAACTAAAAAAAAAAACAAAAGAGGTTCGAAAATGGCAGCCGCGCTCAGATTCGACCCAGACCCTGAGCAGGTCAGTTAAAAAGAGGCTTGGTTCCTGGAATGGTTAATTCTCTTTTTCTGCACGCCATTTTTTCGTTTAAAAGAAAGTCATCCTGCTTGGTGCCATTAAAGACTCTGGGCATCTCACTCAGTCAGCAAAACAACACGGTTAGTTCTACAACGTAGACTGACCCAGGTTCATGTCCTAGTACGGGACCACGTGCGAACCAACGCAGTAAGGATTGTATGTTGATAACAGGCAGCATACTAAACCACCAGGGATTTAAGAACAATTCGAACATTCCTCCAACTTCTTTAATGATATATTACGCCGCTAAGACACAAAAAAGCGTACTGAGGTTTGCACGAAGGTCGGTAAAATAGTAAATCGTTATCGACCAATCGAGGCATGCGATGGCTGGCCCATTAAACTTAACACTTTTACTTCTTTTGAAACAGTGATTTGCATGATGACTGTCGTGATAATCAAAATTAGCACGCCACTACTCACGAGCTATCACTGGTACTAACTTGCAATAAAATGAAGGATTACTGTAGATCTAAGATTTTAACTCACAAAATGCGTTTCGTAGATGTAATGCTGGGATTTAAAGTAAGTTATTCAACCGACGGCCAACTATTAAAAAAAATAAACATTTCCAACAGTTCACTAACCTTCCGTCTCTAAAAGGGCTCGTAACTCTCGCTGAAGCATATTGTGACTTCGTTCCAAGTCTTGTTCGTTTTTACTGCGGTAAGAGAGACAAAACAGATAAGACAGTATATTGCGTAAATAGCCATTGGCCGTTGCAGTTCCATCTCCTGTTCCTCGTTGCAGTAGGAGTAACCTGACTCAGAATCAGTCTACCAATTAAAGAGAATACAAACAGCCTACTAGACTGTGCACAACCCGTCTCGCAGAAGCTAGAAACGAGGCGAGGAAATTAAAAATTCTTTTCCAACCACTCTGCTGATTTCGAGCGACCATTTTCTGTCTCATACTTTGGCAAGTAGTAAAAATACAGCCTGCTTATACTGTCCCTGGTTGGATACTGAAGCATTTAAATCAAAAGTAAACTTACAGTAAATTCAGTTCACCCTGTCTTCTGACCAGCTCGTTTTTCTTGTTCACCAGTACGAACCAGTCCTGCATCAGTTTCTCCTGTTCTTCTTCACAACCTGTGTTACATAAGGTAAAAGGTAAAGTCTGCATACGAGCAAAGTGACCCATCAGGCCGGAGCTTATCCCGGTTTCTGTAGCAT